ATAAGAAAAAACAATAGTTAATGAAACAAGGACTGAATGAGATAGAAATATCGCAATCGAATAAGATCCGTTTCGCCCAGTCTTGAAAGAAAATAGAAGGGTAGCAATGTTCCGAAACCAAAAAAGTGGTGCTGCCTCCCCATTGCTGTTGTTTCTGTAGATTCTTCTGGAGTGTTTTGGATATTCTGACCTTTGTTTTCTCGTCAATCTGCGGTAACCTAATTCGCCCTGTGCCAGCCTTGCCGATTGTTCCTCGCGAGTAACCGAGATCCTCTTGGTAGGCGTCACTTTCAATCTGCAATCGCAATACATTCTCTAGTATGCTCTATATTTCAGCGTTGCAAGTTGCAAACTTTAAAATATGTATAACTCACATCAGCAAAGTTCATTCTATTGGCATGCTTTCTAAACTCTGTGATCGCGTAGCGTTCCTTCATCTTGCGGACGCGTTTACCGCCACGCTTTTTCCGACCAGGATCGATTGGCTTCGGCAATGGTTTCACAAACTTCACAGGCGGTGGTTCTTGTAGTTTGTCCAACTTTTTCTCTATCTCGTCACGCAACATTTGGCCATAGTGACCATCCGTACTCTCATGGCAAGCATCCACTCTGGCTGCCAGCATGCTTTTCCCTGCCACTAATCTTGCTGCTTTTCTTCGCAAATCCTAAAATGTCATTAGATTAATATATTTTATTATTTTTTACGATAATTATCTATATTATCTTATGTTAAAAAAGAAAAAATTTACAGGAGGTGTATCTTGCACAATTTCAGAGTAATATATGAATCCTGTATGAGGCAAAGTGGTGACTTGAGAAAATCCGGAAAGTGTTGTTTTTTGTGATCCTAGAACTAGAACGTTACAAGCTGGCATCTTGCAAAGTTTTGTGAGACCACCCGCGACACCTGCAACATCACAAAGGAAAGAAATATGTTGCAATATAAAAACTCACAAGTTACTTCAACACATTACAGCAATTTTATGTAAAATATACCCATAATCTTAGCAGCTGTCGATGCACCAACAATTATCGACAAATTCGGTGCAATAAGTGCCATTCTGCTTTCTACATATTCAAATATCTTCAATTTACAATTGTTTAATTCCACTGCCATATCACAAGCTTCACAAATAGCCTCTTTTTCCTCTTCTGTCAACAATTGTCTATATACAGGAATATAGTTAAACATTAAAAAAAATTATACAATAATCACAGAAAGCAATATTATTTATTGCAATATTACCCTTGAGTTGTTGATGCTGTCACAGAAACAACCATAATTGTTGCTTGTGTCAAAAACTGTTGCAGAGTCTCATTATTTTTGGCTCGATCCAAATCATTTCCTAATTCTCTAACAGTCATAACATACTCCAAAGGCCCTACAACTAAAGATTCCAACTCTGGAAATCTTTTGGAGTATTTGTCTCTTGTATATCTATGTATGGTAGCTAAAAAATATAAAATATATTGTTTGCATCACTTTGTAAAATAAAACTCCTATAAAGTTTCTATTCACATACCTATTTCATTATCAATATCTACAGCCATATTATTCGCTTCAACTATCAATTGATATTCTGGATCTGATTCAACAGGTCCTACAATATCAGATGACTTTCTGATTACCTTGCTATACTTTTCAATCTGAGATATAATCTTTTGCAGCTGTTCTGAATCACGTAATTTGGCCAATTCCCTAACAGAGGATACCTTTATTTCTATAACAAGAAAACAGATCACTCTCGTAATGTACATTATAAAATGTAAGATATTGCATTATAAATTATAAAATAACATTTTTAGACAATACAATACAATACAATATAATATTATAAAATAGATTATGTGAAAAATTTATTTAAATATTGTAAAATACTTTAACGCCTAATCTAACCTAACCTTCTTCTAAAACTTTTGAAACCGAAGCCGGCATGAATTTTGGCTCCGGTTCCTCCATAAAAGTGTTTGCGTCGTCATTTTCCTCAAGATCGGCAAGAAGTTCATCTGCTAATGACATTCTTTTTGTTACAAATTATTTATTTATCACAAAATTTATTTCTAATATTTTCGGACACTGAACCACCATAGACTATATCGAGAAATAGTGAAATAGATTATCTCTTTGGTAAGTGCCTGTGAGTTAGGCCGAATTCCCACTGAGCGCGTCACGCGCGGCGTCATCCGGCGCGTCACTAACTAACCAATCAAAACATCCCATTTTATTCGCGCGGCAAATGATTCAATAAAATGGGATGTTTTGATTGGTTAATTCGTGACGCGCTCATTGGGAATTCGGCCTAAGGTCCTATCGAGACAAACTTGCATAAACATAATAATAACGTAATCGCATAAACATATGCATAAGGAAATTGATTGGTCCATAAGCAAATGCATAAGGAAATGGACCAATCAATTTCCTTATGTATATGTTTATGCATTTATGCAAGTTTGTCTGGATAGGCCCTAATGATAGTCGTCGGCGAGGAGAAGTTTGTAAAAAAAGAGGAGGGGGGTGTTGTTGTGCTGCTATCTGGTCTTAGCGGTCTCAGTTAATTAAACCAAAAATAATTACGAAGAACACGAGAGTTTGCACACTCTAAGACGAGTAACGAAGAAAATACAAGTTTTGTTTACATCTATCTATAGTTTGAGGATTAGTTTGCTATTTTGCGGGATATTATTTGTCGTTAAGCAAAGATTTTAATTCTTAAAAAAAAGAACAAGGAAAAAGAAGATGGATTTCTTGGAGTATCCAGACATTTTCGCTGAGGTTAAGGGTGCTATGGTAAGAACTTTTGTTTACTTTTAAGCAATCAAACAATCTCGCATTGATAAAATTGTAAAAATTTTACGCATTATTTAATTATTTATTCTGAATATTTGGAATATTTACTCAACACAGACACAATTTTTTAATTCGTTTTAGAGTTGTTTAATTTTTATGTACATATTAATTTTATGTACTTATTGCACATTATTTTGACAAATTTTGTAACAAAGAAATAGCAATAAAATGAAATTTTTTATAATTACTACAAATTGTAAAGCACATTTGTGCAAAATTGAAAGTGATTAACGAATTATATATTACTTTTTTTCATTAGACACCAGGCAGATTAAAGTTGACCGATCAGCATTTAATCTTCAAGAATCAGAAGACTGGAAAAGTGGAGCAAATTTCTGCCTCTGATATGGAAATGGTAAACTACCAAAAGTTTATTGGCACTTGGGGTTTGCGTATCTTTTTAAAGAATGGCACTCTGCATCGCTTCAAGGGCTTTAAAGAAGCCGATCAAGAAAAGATTGCTAAATTCTTCACTGTCAATTATAAAAAGGATATGTTGGAAAAAGAACTGAGTTTAAAAGGTTGGAATTGGGGTACTGCAAAGTTTACAGGATCTGTCTTAAGCTTTGATGTAAGTCATCACACTGCTTTTGAGATACCTTTATATGACGTGTCGCAGTGTACTACAGGAAAAAACGAAGTTACCTTGGAATTTCATCAGAATGATGATGCACCAGTCAGTTTATTGGAGATGAGGTTTCATATTCCTGGTGGCGACAGTGCAGATTCGGATCCTGTTGATGCATTTCATCAGCAGGTAAGAAACAATGGATGGATTTATTGCATAAAATAATTTATAAGTATTGATAAGCACACGTAAAATTAAATGGAAATACACTTTATTACCGGAAATAATTTCTATGCAAAAACGAAATCATTTGGAGTAGGATACATGTCTCAACATATATGTTTTTAATAAAATTAAGAGATTATTTGAAAGAAAATAACACATTTATTTATTATTGTTATAACAGGTGATGGAGAAGGCATCTGTAATCAGTGTGAGCGGTGATGCAATTGCCATATTCAGGGAGATTTATTGTCTAACACCGCGCGGTCGCTATGACATAAAAATTTTTCAGTCCTTTTTTCAATTACACGGCAAAACCTTCGATTACAAAATTCCCATGTCAACCGTCCTGAGACTCTTTCTACTGCCGCACAAAGATAATCGGCAAATGTACTTTGTTGTGAGCCTGGATCCTCCCATAAAACAAGGTCAAACACGATATCATTATCTAGTACTCCTATTTAATCAAGAGGAAGAAACTTCCATAGAGCTACCTTTCACAGAAAAAGAGCTAAAGGAAAAGTATGAAGACAAATTGACTAAAGAATTAACAGGACCAACATACGAAGTGCTCGGCAAGGTTAGTAGAAAAAAAAACTAGCATTATTAAAAAATTTTTCTTTTTAAACTTGTCTTTTTATACACACATACATATATATATATATATTTTTTTTAAATATTTAAATATTAAGAGAATTCTTTTATAAATCTATTTTCTTCTTCATTCTAATGCTAATTATTTGTTTAGGTGATGAAAGTAATTATTAATCGAAAATTGACCGGACCCGGACATTTCACCGGTCATACCGGGGCACCCGCGATTAACTGCTCCTTCAAAGCTGCAGCGGGATTCCTGTATCCGCTCGAACGAGGTTTCATTTATGTACACAAACCTCCGATACATATTCGCTTCGAGGAAATAGCCTCGGTGAACTTTGCGCGCGGCGGCGGATCTACAAGATCCTTCGATTTCGAGATCGAACTTCTGAGCGGCGTGGTGCATACATTCAGCAGCATTGAGAAGGAGGAGTACGGCAAACTGTTTGATTTCATCACTGCAAAGAAGCTTCGCGTCAAGAATCGCGGCAAGAGCGACAAGCTCACTTACGACGAAGACTTTGGTGACAGCGATCAAGAAGACGAACCGGATGCTTACTTGGCGCGAGTTAAGGCGGAAGCGGAGGAGCGTGACGGTGTGGAGAATCAAGATTCCGAGGAAGACTCGACCGACGAGGACTTCAATCCAAATCAAGATGAAAGCGACGTTGCGGAGGAGTACGACAGCAATCCCAACAGTTCCGAAAGCGAAGAAGACTCAGACGCATCTGAGGCTAGTAACAAAAAAAAGAAAAAGGAGAAGAAGGAAAAAAAACCCAAATCGGCGAAAACGGTGTCAGAAAAGCCGCGAAAACGAAGGAAACCGAAGAAGGAGAAAGATGCGAATAAGCCGAAGAGGCCGCCAACGGCGTTTATGCTGTGGCTTAACAATGCGCGCGAGAGTATCAAGGCCGAGAATCCTGGAATAGCTGTGACAGAAATCGCGAAGAAGGGTGGAGAAATGTGGCGAGAACTCAAGGATAAGTCCGAATGGGAAGCAAAGGCAGTTAAGGCTAAAAAAGAGTATGCGGCGTCGATGAAAGAATATGAAGCGAGCGGTGGCGGTAAATCTAAAGAGAAGGAAAAGACGGAGAAAAAGAAGGAGGTGAAGAAGGAGACGAAGAAGGAGGTGAAGAAGGAGACGAAGAAGGAATCACCTGGCAAGTTAATGAGTGGCACTTCTTTCAAGAGTAAAGAGTATATCAGTGATGACGACAGTAGCAGCGATGAGAGTAAGAAGTCTGAAAAAAAGTCGCCCGACGAAAATGAGGAAAAGGAGGAAAAGGAGAAAAAGAAGAAAAATGAGAAACGAGCTGCAAAGGATACCGGAAAGAAAGTAGTGAAGAAGCGTAAACAAGATCAGTCGGATGATGGAGAAAGCGATACGGAAGAACCCACGGAGAGCACTCCGCCGTCGTCCGACGCAGATTCTAAAGACAGTGATTAATATGTTATGCCAAATCAAATGTAAGCACTTTGTTTTTTCTAAAATATTAATAATCGACCCATGTTATTTTATTTTTGTAATATTAATCGGTATAAATAAAGGCCGTTTATCTTTTTGCAAATATAAAGCAAAACTAACATATCAGCTATTCATATTTTAATTATAATAAAATGAAGTATTAATGAATAAGATTATTATTAATATTAAGATCTGAATGTTGCAAAACAAATAATAATTTATCGCATCATTGACACGATTTTTGAACGATTTTCAAATATATGTTTCCTTGCTAATGAAAAGAAGATGTAAAGAAAATGTTTTTCCACGCAATGGTTTTATTTGTACTAAGATTATTTATTTCCATGTTCCTCGGTAATTGTATAGTTTATAACAATTAACTTTTGCAACAATTGTTCCTTCATACAATTTCTTCTTATTGTAATGAAAAAGGAGTTAAGAATGTAACAAGATTTGCACCAATTATTATATTGCGCAAGTAATTAAATTTGCTATTAAGCATAACATACACATGATGTAGTTTCTCTGCCATGACGCAACACATTTTAATATTTAATGCTATAAATAAATGTGCGAAATATTTATTTTAAACGGTTGCTGGGCAGTGACAGTGTAATTGATGGCTATATAAGTACAATCATTTATTAATTTCTAAAGTCAAGACCCTAAATTCAAATGTATAAAATTTTCAAAATTTTAAATTGTGAACACAATTGTGTGAACACAATATGGCAACTGCAGATTTAATAGAAAACTTTTAATAAAGTTTTAAGAGTTTTTAACTTGAAAATTATGATATCAAGCTTGTAATTCAAAAATAAAAAACAAAAAATCTTTGAAAATGATCTTTTACAAATCTTTTATCAAATAATACATATATGTATCATTCCCATCTAAGACACAGATATGGTTGTTAGTTAAACATTACTCGTTGCTTTACAAGAAACAGTAGGAATGGCATTTAAAATAGTTGCACTTGATTCATACACTATTAATGATAATCATAATGTGTGATCATAAAGAAGTTAAGCAATAAACAAAGTGTCAACTATGTGGTTTTTTCTCTTTCTCAGTTTCCAAATAATTGGTTTCCATTTCTTTGAGTTCAATGTGCTGTTCTCTCATGGCCTTCTAAAACATAAAAGCACAAAATTGTTGGCATTACTTTCTTTTGTGAAATGTTAGGATATTTGTTTCTAAATAATTGGCAGCTTACACGAGTGAAGAATCTGATCTGTGAGAAGGGAGTCTCTTAAAACTTACCGCTACACAATCTTTATAGACTTTAAGCAAGGAGGCACACATTGAATCGTTGGTATCCCCTTTTAAAAACTTTTCAGAAAACCAGCTGTTGAAACAGGCATCGTACTTCTGTTTCAACTCACTGCAAACCTCCATGTTGCGCTCTCACTTTATCTCCCCCTCTCTTTTTTATACGTTATATACTTGCAGACTTCCTAAAGGTACAAGCAAGATATAATACTATTTTAATTACCTTGACGCATTGCTGATACATTTTGAATAAGTGCGAACATGTGCTGTCACTCGTGTCACCTTTCAAGAATTTCTCGGAGAACCACGTGTGGAAACAAGAGTCATACTGTTGCTTTAATTCATTGCATGTGTCGCCTATGCTGTTCATGAATAAACGCGGCCCTAAAATCGGTTCGTATTAGCTTTACCCCTCATCTTAGACGACGTAGATTCAACGAATAAATGATAATAAGTAATCTTGAAAACATAATACAGGTCTTTGAGAGCTAAAGAGCACTTCCTAACCTGATGTCGCATAAAACGGAAATGTTATGCAATATGCACCTCACTTGCAGCAGCGAGTCGCAATAAAGTTAGGTAAAGTTGACTGAATGCGACGAACCGGCTCAAATTCGATGAGAAAAAATAGTGTTAAACATTAAATCGTACACTTTCGTGAACTTGCGCTGATTACAATAGGTCTGTTCTTTATAGCTGAACTGGCTGCACTAGTTCAGAGTTTATCTTTCTCCTTTCAATATGGAGAGAAAAAGATAAACTCTGAACTAGTGCAGCCAGTTCAGCTATAAAGAACAGACCTAATGATACAACAATTATCGACATATTTTCAGCGCCACCACACTGTGTACCCATGACGTATCACTAATGCCCGTTTCTATCAATGCAGTTTAAAAAGTCTTATCAAAAATAACCAGAAATAGCACTTTTCAATTGGTAGTTTCCATTCTTTGCAACTGGCGACAAGACATTGTAGAATAGCCCTAATTTTTTAAACTGCGGTGATAGAACCGGGCATAAAAGTGATCACGTGTTAACTGTGGTGTGTGAATCTCCCATTATAGTATTTGGTTATATTTCTCATTGCTTATTAGTTTTTTTTGCAGACACAGCGCCAGACGAAGCGGTTCGGAGTTCGAGAGATATTAGATGCGTCAGCTGTCAAAGTTAGTGAGAGCCGCGACGGTCGTTGATTATTGTGTTATCAATTGTTGCCGCAAAAACGACAGTACCCAATGTACTGTGACGCAATCTTAATTATTCAACAGGACGCAATACTTTGGCGAAGAGCGATATCATCGCTGTAAATAAATGCACTTGAGATTTTGTAATCCCCTGATTACGAAGCTTCTAGTCCAATGTCGTCACTGATAAAGTTCTGATAGGCAGCTGCCAATTTGAGTAGCGATGAATAGTAGACATAGTCCCGGAAAAATTACACTGGGGATGATAAAAGGTGGGTGAAAAAAGGGATATATGTTTATATACAATGATGGGTGCTTTGATGTTTACTTGCGTACAATGATTAAACTTCTCTTTGTCAATTAAGAAACATATCCTTACGCTTACAGAATCAATCGAATGATTCAACTGCTTCACGCTTATGAATAACAAAAAAAAAAAAAAAAATGGATGAATCAGATGCCGCGAAATATTTCTGTGAATACGTACACATTACATGTCATTAATGCACTCGATTATAATAATTTCATAGATTAAGCTTGCATAAATCTTCTAATTAATATTTTTATTATTTCTTAAGGACATATAGGTCACATTAAAACATTGGCAGAAAATTGTGAAAATTTCATCGGTTTTATTATTTATTTTGAATGTCTGCACAAAATCTCGATCTGATTAATTTAAAAATTGTTTAATTTTTGTATTTATACTTATTCGATTCTTATGGAAAATCGAGTACTTGCGGTACTTATTAATAAATTTGATGAAAAGAAACATTATTAACCAACTCGAACAAATTTTTCATAGACAATTTTTTCATAAAAAAATTCTAATAATTATTTCTATAAAATTTCGTTTGGATTCACTGATCAATTGTAAGTTATTCACCTAAAACTGCATCAAAACACGATTATTATATTACGTAACTCATTCTGGCATTGGTAATGTGTGGCAAATTATTTTGTTTCTTGTAGTTAAGATTTAAGGTAATATTCACATCAAAGTTTTCTTTTCCTTTATTATCGTGTGGGAAGAAAATCTTTTAATTACAAATATTTTCTGCATAATCTAAAATTCTATTATTCGTCATTTCAGTATAAAATAAAAAATACATTATTTTAAAATGGTACCAATTTTTAGCTAATATTAGCTAATATAACCGATGTATCTTGAACCTCTCAACTATCAATCTTTGCTGATTCAAGTTTTATTTTTTAAGGCAAGCCGATCGCCACATCTGTACCAGTGATTCATTATCGAGCCAATGACGATGAACTGGAAGAATTATATCCGAGCTCCTCGGATGAGGAGAAATGTCTCACGCCGGAGTCTGATAAAGCGAGGATCCCGTCGAGTCCCTCGAAAGACAGCGAAAATGGCCAAGGAATGGACAACGAATCGGAGAGTCGTTCCATCGACAGTAATATATTTGAGGGTGTTCCACCATCTTCGGATCCATGGAAGATGTTATCCGAAATCAAGGGAAAGATCACAAAGACATTCGAGGAGAAGCTCTTTGAGATGAAGAGCGATCGAAAGAAGGGAAGAGGTAACAAAGATCATTCAAATAGTGTTAGTGACTCGGAGGATCCGGGTGATGTCACTCCGACCGACGAGAATGTCAATGAAAAGCAAGAGAGAGAGCCAAATTTGTCCACTGGTCGCCATAGGAGCAATGCTGCGAGATTTGTAGGCTTCTCGCACGTGAAGACTGGCTTGAAAACCAAGGGCTCCCAGGATGACAGCGTTGAGAGCGGTGTGGAAGCTGCCGAGTTTCCCGAATCCGTTCCCGATCCGTTCTTTTTCGAATTACAGGATGATTCTCGCGCGGAGGACAAAGCGGACACTGTCGCGCATTGTCGTAATCTTTATAGACAATCGGATGGATATGTCTGCGTAAAGGAAGAAGTAAAGCTTAGTACGTTACTCACCCGCATGAAGGATTATCTATTTCAGCAACTGACAAAACAGTTAGCTGCACTTTTGACCCTTACGCTCGCTTTCTTTTTTCTCATTCCGCTGCCCGCGCACTTGGTTGGTTTTTTCATAGGGGTTTTCGCAACGGTAACGGTATATAAACTAATGCGGAGGATCAAAGATATTTTAACGGCACCGTTAGACAAACAATCTGTGCATACGGCGGTTCCCGTGGTGGAGATACCGGCAGCGGAGGAGCATGCGGTTCAAGAAAGATACGAGGGGTGGTTGAACGAACTGCCCTACACTTATGATCCCCAAAACTATCATGTAGCGCGCACAAAGTCGGTCCTGTTCACTCTAGAAGGTGGAGTGTTGCGCGTTATGGAGACTAGAATGAGAGTGCCAAAGAGAGCGGTGTGGGATGAGCCTAAGCGAAAATTTAAGTTCACCAAAAAACGCGTGTACAATCTTGTCGGTGCGAAAGTGGAGCTATTACCGGAGGGACTCATCCGGAGAAGGTAATATACAGGTTGCTTGAAAAATAATTGTTAGAACGTTACCATCATATTTTCTACGAACAATAACGCAAATGCTTCATTTCTGAATTAAAACTTTCCAACGTCACGTATTATAAGATTTATATAAATGATGAAATCCACAAGTAAAATATCCATTTTCAAATATATTTGACAATCCATGAGAGACTCATCCATTTGGACCCATCCAGTTGGGAAGCTTGTATATTTTCCTAATTACTTGGAACACATTTTCTTTAATATGTAAATTTAAAACATAAAAACTTGATAACTTTGACAATTACATTTTTATATAATACAACATGTTTAAAGATTTATCTGAATTGTATATACATGCCTGACAATCTGAGAAATTAAATCTTGGAAATAAAGAATTTTCAAATTTATACGTGAGATTACGTAAGATTATACATATATACTTTTGTGCTAAATATCGTTATAAATTATATATTTATATTTAATGCACGCAGGAGATGGAGCAAAAAATATCCAATTTGTATTACGATGGACCGAGGAGCATTAATAGACAGTACGATGTTGAGCGATTGGACGGATCTGGGAAAAGAGTCCTTTGACGACGAAAAAAAGATCAATCAGATGGAAGGGATCGACCAAGAGATCGAAGAAAGCACATTGGGTGAAGAAACAAAGAGCGAAGATGAAGATTTTAGATTAGAATTCTTTAAGAACAACGAAGAAGAAGAAGAATCGAAAACTTATGAAGATGAAGATGACGATGATCTCTCGCAGTCTAAATCTATCAGGAGTGTTTACGAGGACTGCCGCGACGAAGAAGAGATTACCAAATGCAGATTGTACGTGTTTGCGCGTGCCGATCGAGAGAAGGAAGACTGGTAATATTTCTTGTAAAATGTCTGTTAAAAAATCAATTAAAATAATACTAAAAACATACTTAAAAATTAAATATTGTTTGCCGTTTGGAAAAATTTTGATATTGCTTTGTTGCTTAGAAAAGAAGAAGAATAGTATTGTATAGTTTTACATAAGAGCGCTGAATTGAAAGAATTTTGATTTTTACATATTTCTAATGTTGTTTGAAAAACGAGAAATATAATTTCGGAAATATAATTCAAGTAATTTACATTTTTTAATTTTGCTTTTTTTTGTCAGGTTTCGAAAATTGACATCAGCGGCTTTTTTTTCGAGAAAACGACATTCAACTTCTTCTATAAACGATTCAGTATCCTCTGCGAATGCGATATCTACGCAGCCAGATGTGGCGGAAGTAAAGTTGCTCGAGGCGTCTCCCAAAATCTCTTACAATACCTATATGAGCAAGTACCTGAACGTAAGCGACATAGTAATCAAATTAATTCCTTAAAGCGTTAATGAGGCATAGATGCAATGTTTATAAAACAATCATGTTTTCATCTATAAGATTTTCACCACACACATCGTGTGATTATCTATAGATTTTTGGGATTGCTGAATTCGAATTTAATTTGACATAATTTTGCAATTTAAGAAAATATAATTTTTATAAAATACAAAATGAAATTTATTGTATTTAAAAAATTTAATTTACATATCACATTTAAATTAAGTGGCAAGGATTATTTCAGAATTTAAATATACTTTTCCTTAAATTTTTTATTTTTTATTCTTAAATTACTAAAATTTTCATCTTAAATTTTACTCAATTAAGTTGAAAACAAATTTCAAATACTTCCTAAAAGTTTCATATAAAATTTTATTGTTTAAATTTCCAATTGTTATATTCAAAATTATAAAATTCTAAAATTTTGACTGCGGATTTAAATTCAGCATACCAAATAAAGCCCGAATGTACAATATTGATTGGTTTTCCATAGAAAATTATTGTTGGTGACGCAGCTCTCTTATTTCTTAATATTAAAAAAAATAAGTCCACAATTCTTGTAATTCTTGATCGCACGATTATCCTTTTCAGATGAATCCTGAAGATTCTCCGAAGGAGAACGACATCCTCTGGGTAAACTGCCTCCTGGGACGACTAATGTTCGATATGCACAGCTGTCCAGAGACGATCAATCTCATTCAGGATAAAATACAGCGCAAGCTGTCCAACATAAAACTTCCGTATTTCATGGAGAGTCTGTTGGTGACGGAAGTAGCGATCGGCCAGGATGCTCCTATGGTTCACAAGATCACTAAACCGACGCTCGATCAACGAGGGCTCTGGTTTGATTTGAACATTACTTATAAAGGCTGTTTGACGATGACTGTGGAGACAAAGTTGAATCTAATGAAGCTGACGCGTGCGAGTAGCGTGTCTGGTGATATAATTGCAGAGAAATCTGTGCCTACTAGATCACCGATATTCGATAGTGACGTAGAAGACAGTCCAGAAACGTCTACAGAAGACGAAGATGTCGGAAATGTCGCGTCGTGCGTCACATCCAAAGATGCTACGTACGTATGTATGTGTGTCTGTGTGTGTCTGTGTTCTGTGTCTCTATGAATCTGTAATAAGAGAATATATCCAAACGTCTTTTTCTCCGATTTTGATCAAGCTTTGGATATATTCCAAGTCACACACAATATATGACGCATATGTGCGTCATTGAAACAAATATTTTTTCAATCACATTTACAAATAATATGACAAATAGTGATTGCAAAACTTTCGTATATTGCAGATCGACACAATCTTCTGGCAAGAAGTTTCTCAGCATGGTCGACAAGTTAGCAGCCAACAAATATTTTCGACACGTAAGCGAGTTATCTTTAATTATACTTAATCCCTCAAGTCTTTGTGAAGCACATATGCATTATTGAAAAAAGTATTTACTATGTAAAGGTTATTTGCAGAATACAGTATCTGCAAGTATTTCTAATTATTATATTGAGTTCACAATTCGGAGTTTCCAAAAGGTCGAAATATAAAAGGATATATACAATCTTTACGTATACATCCTTTTCACTTAAAAAAAATTAAGAATTAATAAATTAAGTAAACATTTGATTGATAATGGTGAAAGCATAATTTTTTATAAACAGCTTATGCAAATTTATTTTTCCTACAGGCCACAGAATTGTCCTATATACGAAGAGCAATGGAGGGTGTTTCCAACACGGAGATCCGTTTCACAGTCAACGTGTCTGGTATCGAGGGTTGGCTCTCGGTTAATATTCCACCACCGCCCGCCGATCGACTTTGGTACGGTTTTAAGCCGGTGCCAAAAATCACCCTTACTGTACAACCAGCCCTTGGTGAAAGGACCGTCAACATTGTCTACGTGACCAAATGGATCGAGAATAAACTACTCAGGGAATTCGAGAAACTAGTTGTTCTACCAAATATGGACGATGTGGTCCTGTCACTCTGCCCAAACTATCCTTTCGTCGCAACGTAAGTAAATCTTATGCTGGCCAAATCAGTTATCTGCTTTTACATTTATTGTTTTTTTTTGTTTTTTGTCCTCCCCCCCCCCCCCATCTTTTTGTACATTTTGCGAAAAATGTTTTTACCACCCTTGCAAGAGTTAACTGAGAAATAAATTTTGTTATTGTTGTTGTAATAATGTAGTGATTGTTAAAATTTGTAAATAAAAAATACGAGAAATAAAATGAGAGAATTCTCAAATTTCGCGGATAAGAACGCTGTAGCTTTAGCTCTTTTTACACAATTTTTTAATATTATTACTATTATTTGCTGTAAGGAATACTTTATCAAGCGGCATTTGTGAGAAGAGAAAAAAATAATTGTGATATATCTTTATATATGTTATCTTTACATTCATAAAGTGAATGAAAGAAGGAGAAAAAGTTTGTTGTGAGTGTACATTTTTATTAAAATATGTAAAAATAAATATGGATCAAAAGAGAGAAATGGAGAACATGGAGAACCGAGACAATTTAAATAATGTTAATTGTAAAACTCACTGCAGATTGTTTACTTGTACAATTGTAAATATCACGAAATCAATGCTGCGGCAATCGTGGAGGAAAATTTGTGCGTTACTGTCTAATATGATGGGTTCAATAATTTAATTAGTTCTTTTATATATAACAGGCAGTTGATGCGAAATGTTTTGCAAAAGTATTGTTAAAATACTGATATCACGTAATAACTAACTGATAATTTACAGACAAATTAAATAGCCTGCAATTTTGTTGAATTGGTTAAACTCTTGAGAAAAGAAAATATAAATATATATAAATAAGATAAAAATAATGACTATATATATATATATATATATATAGATGGTACAGGTTTTCTCACTTCAACTCCTCAAGTTAATGCGTATACATTATTGAAAAACTGATCATTAATGTCAATGATGCATGTAAGCATTATTTTAAACAAAATATTTTCAACTATAGGATTTTCGCAAAACACGGTACCCATCGGTTTTTGAGATCATTCAAGTCATTCTTTTTTTT